TATTACCGGAGTATAGGTAGATTGGATTGACCGAATGAAATTCACATCAAAGTAAGCACTGGAGATCGCGTAATTATGAAGAAATTCCCGTACACAACATTAATAAACTTGTCGATGAGTATTTCAATTTTTGATATGCTTATTTCATCCAATCGTGTTTGTGCACAAATCTGACATAATATGAGACATTGCGATGATAGTACGATAGCTAACCGTGGAGCGGAGAATAGAGAATGAAACACTATAGATTCTAGGCTATATCAAACGTGGAGTCAAATTAATGTCAAACTTGAACTTTAGCAACTTAACAGTCGGTGTAATCACAGTACACATTGTGGAGGAACTGTGGTATAATACTGTAAAATACTTTAATTTCGCTTGGAATTAATTTGGAAAGATTCAGTGAAAATAAAATCCAGCGAATATATTTTTTTCTTATATTTTACATTCAACTTGCCAAAAAACAGTGAAAATAAATTCCATACAAAACACACAAAAAGTCTTTTCAGCAAAAAATTAATTCCAGCTGAAATAAAGTATTTTACAGTACATGTATTTAGCACCACTTCATAGCCATGTAATCCTCGGTGGCAACATAACATTCCTTTTTACATCGCCCTCATGTGACACACAGTGTCATTACAAACATAGCAGCACCCAAATCTGCCCTATAAGACCAAACACCTTGGTACAGCCTGCTTTCTTAGATCCATTTCTCACCTCGACTATTTTGGTATTATCCACTTTTTCAAAGCAGCCTCCAAACCCATCAGTTTTGAATACAGAATCAGTGCTCTGTATGCATATTGGGGAGGTTTTAAGTACATTAAACTGTCTACGTCAGTGATAGAATTTCTAATAATAAAACAAATGCAGTACACGCTTTATTCACCCCTGCAAAATCATATAATCATTATCATTATTATAATGACAAATGTCACAGCACACCTACCACAGTGTAATGACAAGCACAAATTACCACCTGTAAGAATTCAAATGTAAATTTCAGTATTTTCAAACTGGCATCTTATAAGTTTCAAATCAATAGTAATAATAATAGCCATATATTTCTGTAATATGAAATGAACCAACACAATGAAAGCTTTCTTTTTCTAGCATTTGTATAAATGACATTCAGTTGATGTTATTGTTGAAGCTATTCCAGAATAAAAAATGTGTAATATATTTTTTTTTTAAATCTTTGGGTTAAATCTTGCTCGGCACAATAGACACTAAAAAAAAACATTGTTGAAATGTCATATGCAAACATAAAACACATTTGTTATACTTCGACCTATTCCTATAAAGGTCACACATCCTGGTACTTATTCATGACCTCTAAAGGTCACACATCCTGGTACCTATTCACGACCTCTAAAGGTCACACATCCTGGTACCTATTCATGACACCAGAAAATCAGATATCCATTGATGTGTGACATAGGGGTGAAAAATAAAGTCTACACTAATTCACCAAAATACAATTACATATCTTTGGATAAAAAAAATCCCCAAAACAGCTCTTCAAACCCAGTAAATAATATAAAAACTTAACTGTACAACTACAATTCTGGCAATACTCACAATACTTGTATCGTGACATAGCAATCTGCCAGTGCATGCACAGATAATGTTAAAGCATGTACACATACCTTAAAACAATAATTGTTGTCAAGACCCATGGCAGAATAAAGAGCAAAAAAACGTTTGACTAAATATACTAAATTAACATACATTATTAATAAGTCTAGATGTGCATTTACATCAATTCATACATGCATAAGTTATTAATAATATTCTAATTGTTGTTACAGTTGAATATCAACATAAAACTACTGGTATATCTTCACTAGTAATGCAATGTAGAAAATACATGATATAGAAAACCCCTGTGTATGTAATATTATGCAATAAATAGTACTGACATTTGATAGTGTTAAAGAGTAAATATATTCGGTTCCATCCCCACCAGATTCCTATTAACTTCTGTTGTTTGAGGCGAGAGCTTCAAAAATGCATAGATAGGAAATTGTTTTCATTCCTACAAAAAGTAAACTATGTTTGGATTAAACAGGACTTGCAATACTTTAATGCATCAAATATCAATAGACTAACTGGGCTAACAAAAATTAGGTATAGTGGCCTGTACAGATTGAAGTGCGCCCACAAGTGGCAGGATGTTGAAATGTACAAGTTGTCATCTGATTATGTATGCCATCTTGGAACCTCCATGAAAGTTTTGTGTTTGGGATAAAAGGTCCAAAGGTCACACATCCTGGTATTTCTGGAGGTACAGTCATTTGGTTGCAATGAAGCAATAATTTCAATTGAATTTAGGATTACTTGTTTTGAAATATAAATTCAACGATACTTCTTTCTAAAGTACCAGGATGTGTGACCTCTAAGGTCATGAAACAAGGCGGCCATATTTCAAGGCTAAATATTTACCACAACTTTTTTATAAAAAAAAAAGAAAACGAATTTCGGTATTCTAAACCTACCAATCAGTTTAGATCTTGTACCATTTCATGATTCAAAATGGTTGTAAAGCTAATATACCGGTAATACTGAGAGATTGAAACCATGAAAATGTTGAAACCATGGAAACAATCTCTGGGTTGAATATTTGTATTTTTTCATGGTTGGTTACTTGGCATTGAATCAGAAAACTATAGAACACGTCTGTAATATTGCTTATTGGGTACTTAATCAAACAGCTAGTTTATATAGAAGAATACTGTCAAACTTGAAACCTTAATAAAGTTACTGTAGAATACTGTAGAATACTTTATTTTCGCTTGGAATTTATTTTCGCTATTTTCGCTGAAGGGATGATTCCGTGAAAATAAAATCCTGCGAATATACTTTTTTTCCTATATTTCACATTAACCTCATGAAAAATCAGTGAAAATAAATTCCAAGCAAAACGCCCATAAAGCCTTTTCAGTGAAAAATTAATTCCAGCGAAAATAAAGTATTCTACAGTACTTTATTTTCGCTTGGAATTTATTTTCGCTATTTTCGCTGAAGGAATGATTCCGTGAAAATAAAATCCAGCGAATATACCTTTTTTCCTATATTTCATATTAAACTCATCAAAAATCAGTGAAAATAAATTCCGTACAAAACTTCCAAAAAGCCTTTCAGCGAAAATTAATTCCAGCGAAAATAAAGTATTCCACAGTAATTGTATCTGTATCATCAGCTGGTAATGTAGAAATCTAATTAATTAACAACCTGTCTTATGTATGACCTTTAAAGTTCACACATCCTGGTACTTTCCAACACAAATTCACTATAAATAACTATTTTTCAGTTATTTTCCCCAATTTTTAAAGTAGCTAAAACTACACTTTTATGAAGTAATTGCTGACATTTCAACAACTGCTAGTAGAGCACCAGAAGATTAAGAAACACACTCAGTTATCTGAGTTTGGAATGGTTGCACCATGTATAAAAACAAAAGATTTTTGGTTCACGTCTGTAGGTGGCACTCTACACTAGTATGCCCACTGTTTTAACCTCTTGACAGTCCCTTTAAAAAAAACTGAACTACACTGCAAATGAATCACAGTGTAACTCAATATTAGATATGTTGTATACTTGCATAGTATAAGTTATTTCATGTGCATGTTACTAGAGAAGACATTGCACGACTAAACAAACTGGTCACTTATACATTGGTGCATAGTAAAGTAAATGACAACGAACATAGTGAGAGACAAAAACAAGTCTCGTGACTCTGTCAAATAAAATTGATGACAATTTTGCAGCAGTCACAATGACTTTCGTGAAATTTTGCCCAAATGAATTCTACCCAATCGCAAGCACCGAAAAACAAGTCATTGAAAATGACACAGTCCCCGTTAAATTTTTGAAAGTTCTCTTTGTGCTTGTCATATTAAAGCAGGGGGTTGTCGCGAGCTGTCCTTGAAACTTGAGTTCCAAGTAGCGTATACAACAGATTGTTTATTTACATCAAAACATGTGTTCCGTGTAGTAGTAATATGGCCAAAAATAAAAACAACCGTTATTTAGCCATCTTTGATCCATGTATGATGTATGTGCCAAATACGAATGAAAATGGTACATAAATTGTGGAAATATAGTAATAAGGCCAAAAAGTCAATCGGCCATCCTTGACCAGATTTTGAAACAAATTGTCATGGACATGCATCCTAACATGTATAAAATACATGTATGTGCCAAATTTGAATGAAAACTGACAGAGCACTTCCAAGATACTGCATAAAAAATAACAACAAGATGCCTGCCAGTCGACCATCTTTGATCCAATTGCGAAATAAATTGTCATGGACATGTAACCTAACATGTATAATGACAGACTGACGCACGAACAGACGGACGAACGGACAGACTCGGGAACTCACGGATGGTCGGGGACATGTATCCTAACGTGTATGATCGATGTACTAAAATTGAATGAAAACTGACAAAGCATGTCCAAAATACGACATTTTCAAAAAACAAGATGGCTGCCAGTCGGCCATTTTCAATCGAATCGCTAAACCACTGCATGTGCATATGTCCCAGATAAAGTACAGGCACATGCAAAGAATGAAAGGAATCGGTCGAAGGGATTCTGAGATATGACTCCGGACGGACGCACGGACGGAGACCGAATTATAAGTCCCTGTTTTCGGACTTCGTCCGAACGGGGACTAAAAAGGGTTTTCTGTATTCACTTGCATTTCGTGAATTTCAAATAAACATGAGATTCATATTCAACAGATTTCACCAACTGGAGAACTACAACAAACTTCATAACCAAAACTTGATAAGGTTACAGTACTGATGGCTGTCACATGCAGTAGAAGCACCCCCCCCCCCCCGGATGAATTATTCCACAATTGCAGATGATAAAAAAAATGCTTGACTATATACATGTATATATCACCAAGGTGCTTATTTTCACTATAGGTTACCATGGTAACCCATATATTAATGCATACATAATTAACGTAAAAGTAAAAGTTCGCTCACACCACTGTGACTCTATCGAACACCAATAGCCGATCGGTATCGTTTGCTACATCAGAATCAGACGGAAGATGGCCATTGAGTTTGACAATTAACTTTTGCGCAAAGTCTTTACGGAACTCGTTATCGTTATGCAAATGTGTTTTGACGTAATTTGGTAGCTGATCACGATGTAGCTGATCCATGCTCTCACTTGGACTGAGATGATGTCGAAGCTCCCATTGTTTTGTCGTTTCATAGTCAATGTTCAATAGATCTTCTCGAGAGAACTGTAAATATTCCAGCGGTTCTGACGTTGGCATATGGGTGATGTGCGAAGCGGGTTTCACCAAGAACAATATACAAGCACCAATTATAGGGGGCGCACCAGCAACAATAAACGCTATATTGTACGACCCACTGCTTTCAAAAATATACCCTAAGGAAAAGAAAAAACAAAGTTATCAGACAATGTTGTCAACAGAGGAACATAACTTATAAATAACTTTAAATGTTTGTGCATTTTGCAAATCTGAAAATCAAGAAATTGCAGTGGAAATTTCCCTTACAACACAGACCATCAGTGACTTTCACATAATTTTTTTAATAGAATTTTTTCTTCTTAAATTCTGAACATTTCTGAAAACAAAACTGAATCAGTACGTGATTGCTGTCAATAGTGTTCAATATCCCAACAGCATGTACAAAATAAATTGTTTACATGAAATATAAACAATATTAATGCAATTGAAATTTTGAAACATAACCCTTAAATCAACATTTTAAATGTATGACGTACTGTTCATCGTTCTTTAATTACATCGCTAATTTTTATTATGAATTCAATGTCATTGTGTCAAACACTAATTTTCCAACCAACAAGAATAATTGTCATTATTTCAAATTACATCACTAAGTGTTACGCCGTGTGTTTAATTTAACAAGACGTTGGATTCCGACAACCAAACAGGTAAAAGCAAACTGGAATAGGAACAGATGTATTTATAACTGCTGTGGTGTTGAAATAATTTAGCAATGGCATTGTGCAGACTAAAAATCACTGAAGTTAGGGTTGAAATTGTCGTAATTTCACATTCTAAATTACATTCTATGATTTCGTGAATAGAAGCACATGTGAACCAAAAGTCTTTGTTTACTAAATCATTAAAATATTACTTATTTTGATCACCAAAAGCACCTCTGTACTTTACATAAACACATGCGCTTATAATGAAGCAAATATGGTTAATGCATAAATCAAGCGTCATCTGTACTGCAGCGAAGTAAGGTACCCCGGTATACATCTGATATGTCTTTAAGATTACACACTTACCAGCTATGGGAGGTCCCAGTGTGAGCGGCACTGACATAAGTCCGAGTATAAATCCAATGGCTTGCGAGGCGTTTTCAGCACCAACGATATCAAACGCAATTGGACCCATCAAACTGACAAAACAACCGTCAAAAATTCCCATTACTAAAACTGCAACAATGATCGCTGCGTAATGAGACGAAGCTAACGGTATCAATGTACACATCACTCCTATCACTAGAAAGGACACTTGTTGCAAAGCAATTCGACTGACGTTTGGAATATCAGCAACTTTGCCAAATATTAGGCGACCAATCAGAGAGGTAGCACCCAAGCAGCCAATCAACACGGCACCATTAGCGTTTGGTAGAACCATTTCGAGATGATTGATCTGTATCAGAAAAATAAAAACAAAATAAATATTAAATTGTTAGCAGAATATATAATTTCATAATTAAATCTTAAAATTTTAAAATTGTTGTGAAAACTTTTTTTGGTTGGCCACAAATTCATTTTTTATCTACATCTTACATATTCAGAAGCATGAACATCTTGCGGCAAGTCTCAGAAGTATTGGGGCAGAAAGTTAACTAACTTGCTCACTAATTCACCAACTACTTTGCTTTTGCCTAAACCAGATAACCCACAATTTGAATATAACCCTTTATTCTGTCACCATCAAATGCTAGTAATATCTGATAGTATTTTAAATCAGTTTATGAGGTTTCACAGGACTGCAAAGTATGCAAGACCCTTTACAATAGTCAAATCTGCTTTTTCAAAACCAAAGTTGTCAGCAAATAAGTGAGCAAGTTTGCCCAATACTTTGGAAACGTTCTGTAATATGTGTTTATTTGGTACCACACACTAGTAGGCTCAGTATTGGGAAAGTATTGAAGAATATGACAAAATTGACAAAAAACACAGGTTATGCCTCTTACCTTCATCTTTCAAATTGTATTTTCTACTTTGCTCTCAATTTAACGTAAATAGCATAACATAATTAAATTTCTTAGTCTGCAGACAAAAATTTCTAAAAATGCCTTCAATTGTTTGGAATTAACAAGAATGTACTGAAGGGCATCAACGTATCCAGGTAAGGCATCAATTCAATTGCCTCCATGGCCTCTGTGAATTTCAAGCTCTGAATAAGTGTAATAAAAGCAAAAAAATTCAAAAACTAGAGGCTGCAAACTTGACTCACCAAATGCACAAAAGGCACGAAGTATCCAAACAATCCAATTGGAATAGCAGTACACCATATAATGTAATTCTTGTTTCTCCAAATGTGTACATTAATATACCGTGAAAGACATCTCATACATCTAGAAGACGGTTCAACATCGCTTGCAGAACCGTGATGTAACCCTGGCGGCAAGATTGGTCTAAATGTTGCACTGGCCGGTATCAGCATGAAAACAATTCCACTTATGAAGCGGAGAGTGTTCCACAATCCAATTTCCTCGACCAAAACGCCCATAAGTATCGGCAAAACGATCGTGAACAGACCACTGCCAGCGGTGACCAATCCATTAACGAGGCCGAGACGTTTCTTGAAGTAATGACCAAGAATCACCAAAGAAGGAGTGTATGCAAATGAAGCACCGGTACCTAATAGAATCCCATAGGTAATAAATAAATATTCAGGTCTTTTAGCGAAAGAGCTTGAAATACACCCAATAAAGGCTATCACAGCGCCAACCATGGCAGTTTTTCGGCATCCAAATTTGTCCGTCAAGACACTGGCAACAGGAGACAATAGAAACGTAAGTCCTATCGATAAGGAACCAATCCACGCTTAAAGAAAACAAAATATAATTCATTAATTATTTTGAAAATTAGAAAAATAACATCTAAAAACTTTGCATTTATACGTACTGTATTAGCTCTATTAGATGTGCATGCACTTATGGGAAATAGAAATTTTACTATGGTCAAAATAATTAATATTTTAATAATTCAGTATACAGCCAATGTAATTTTGGGTTTATATGTGCTTCTAATACAGCAAATACCATACTTTAAATGACAACATTTTTACTGACAAATTTGCTTTGTAATGAACCAAGGTTATGAAGACACAGATTCACTCTTTGAGCACTAAAGCCAACTTCCGTCACCATCCACAAAATAGTTCCATTTATAGTCTGCTTCTTTCCACATAAAATTTCAAATTTTTTGCTCAAAAGTTAGAAGTACTTTCCATTTTGTTTGTCTGGTTCACCGTTTAGATTGAATTCGAAGAAAATTACAAATTCGAGCAGGAAAATTTGGCACTGAAAAGGTTAAAACGGTATGCCAGCTAGGAAAAAATGCAAAAAAATCACTACAAATTCTTGGTATTTTGCAGAGTTAAAATCATGTCAAGTTGAAATGACAAAAAGCAAATATATACCGGTACTCACAATTTTTTACATAGAAACAATGACTTTTCGATTTCCCCTATTATTGTTCATCCCTTAAGAACATGGTGACCTTTTTGTATTGAATATTGGTCAAAACGAATAAAACTAAAGAGTTCCGGAATTTTGTCTTCAGCCATGTTGTCATGGCAATAAGAAAATTGCACGAAATTAAAAAGTGTTTAATAGTTCTTAGATATATTTTGTGTGATTCTGGTAAATTTGTTCATGTTTGGCCAATAAAGGCTTCATAATAGCGAAAGTTACAATAGGACAGCTTAAGATAGTCAGTATGTGTCAATATGATTAATGGATTTTGAAGAAAAACACAGAAATAGAGATTAACAATAATCTGATAAAATAGTCAGCTGATCTAGATAAAGGAGCATGATGCAACTCCTACCACCAGTAATTTGAAACTATTGATTTATTGAAAACAATCTGTTGTTTTGATCTGCTGTTATTAATAACAGATGGATTGAAAAGTTACGCCATCCATCACTATAAGGCAAGGGTATGTTCTAACAAAATTGAAAATATCACTGGAGACTATTTTATACAGGATTACAGGACTGAAAAATAAACTAAAAACAAATAATTTGAAGTAGAAATGGCCAACGAGTTATATGAGTGAAAAAACACTTATATTAATCAATGGTATTACTCTAAAATACTTTTTATATTAGCTTGAATTAATTATCGCTGAAACGACTCTTTGGGTGTTTTGTATGGAATTGCTTTTCACAGATTTACGGCGAGTTGAATGTAAAGTATAAGAAAATAAAAGAGTAATGTAAAATGACTAATTTTCACTGGGTTTAAATTTCACTGATTTACCATTTCAGGCATATTCAGTGGGTTTTAAATTCACAGTTTCGTCATTTAGATAATGTGTTCTATGATCAATTTTACATATTCACTGGGTTTTAATTTAGCACATTTTCCAGTCAGCGAAATAAGCTAAATTAAAACCCATGAATAATTAACCCTTTTACAGTATATTCATTCATTTTATTTTCACTGAATCATCCCTTCAGCAAAAATAAATTCCAACACTAAAAAATTTTTTTTTTACAGTAACTGTAATTTTTCTATAAATTTGTCCATTAATATATCATCTGTTGAGAGCTTCCATGCATGGCCAAAATGAATTTGAAAAAAAACAATGTCAGCCAGCAATGTATTTATCAATCAGATTTATTAGTGTAAAATACTTTATTTTAGCTGGAATTAATTTTCGCTGAAAAACCGTTTAGAGTGTTTTGTATAGAATTTATTTTCACTGGTTTTTGACGAGCTGAATGTAAAATATAGAAAACAAGGTATATTCGCTGGATTTTATTTTCACTGAATCATTCCTGCAGCGAAAATAGCAAAATTAATTCCAAGCGAAAATAAAGTATTTTACAGTATACTGGTAACATTATTTGGTTGTATGGTTATTTCCCCCATTGCCTAGGAGTTCAACGTAGTGAACCTTATAGTACAAGCAGCTATCGTGTAAAGGTTAATGAAATGTCAGACTGAATTGAAGATGATACTATGGACTGTTATTTCAACTCTGATAGTAGATAAGATTTAATGCTTTATATCACAGAGACATCTCTTATCACAGTTACACAAGTGAAATATTTATGCGAATTCCAACTCGTCAGGAAAATGCTTCGCTGGCTGAGGACAGCGAGTCACAGTGATCAGCCACTGTTTTCATGATTACCCTTAGATCTTAAAATTGACAGTTATTTATGGTGGTGAATATATATATATATATATATATATATATATATATATATATAGTATTCATGCATTTTAAGAGATTGATCGATTTCTAGAAAGGCAGATTCTGTTTTTATTTTTTTGTGTAGTGTCCTGATACTTATTGCACCATGCCATTATTTGTTTTCAACGAGCGTGTGAATGCACTTTACTTCAAAACTTTGGGACAAAAATAACTGAAAATTGACTCAAATTTAGTTTGTTACTATTTTACTGTACAACTTCAAGTGTTGTGTCATAAATGTTGTTTATGTTGCACATGATTATTTGATTCAGGTTCTGTTTCACATATCCATACCCAATATGATCTGATTACACAAAAACAAGTCAACAGACAGGAAGCACTTCTCTACCAACTTGTGCCAAAGAAAATAATAGCTATCGATTGAATTGGAAGACAAATAAGGTTAACAGGTGTTCGCTCTTGAGAACTAAGAGCAGGCACTTCAGTCTTCCGTTCATATTTCATAAATATGACACCACGTACCAGTTGTTCATAGAGAGCTTTACTTCATAACTGACATGATTGTTTATTATTGATTACATTTCTGCTGTACAAACTGTAGGTTGAAAAACAAGCAACCACTACCTTCATTTTTC